CTAGAAAGGTATCTTTTAGTAATGTCTCTTCGAAAAAACTATCTTTCGAGAGAATACTTTAGTGGCGTATCTTTAAGTGTCTTCAACGAATGTATCTTTTAGATGAATATCTTTCAGGAGAGTATCACCAATGAAAGTATCTTTTGGAAAAGTATCTTTCAGGGTAGTAAATTCTAAGCAGGTATTTTTTAGGCAAGTATCTTCGGGTATATTTCAGGAAAGAATCATTCAAGAAAGTATCTTTCAGGAAAGAATCGTTCAAGAAAGTATCTTACAGGACAGAATCTTGCAGGAAAGTGTCTTTATGAGAAATATCTTCGACGGGTGTATCTTTCCGTGGAGTATCTTTAATGGTTGTATCTTTCATATGACAGTACATTCATGGACGAGTACTTTCACAAAATACGATTACAACCCAATAAAAGTTATTCTTGTTGTAGAGCTCTTATCACTCCACTCCCCTCTCTCTCTCTCGGTCTCTCTCTCTTCTGATTACCCAATGAGTCAGCAGGAAAATCAAAGAACGAAAAGAAAAGAATACGAGTAGGAGATTGCTGAGGCAATCTTTCAATCCCCAGAAGCAGCACTGACGCGTCGTCATGCCACAATGCCACACATTTAATTGCATTATCAGCCTGACTCAATTAGCCATGGATGTAAACTATACACAGACACATACACAGAGGCACAGATAGATACAGACTCATCGTTGCTTATCTTTTTTGCCATTGCGGTTCTCTTTCTTCGGCGACCCAAGAAAAAACCAGAAGCCAAGATTCATTATTAGATTAGAATGCGGCGCAGACCTCAGGGATGGGTGTATGTATTTCTGGACAAATATTAGATAACATTCTGATAGATTTATCTTTTCTTTTTTCCCCTACTCTATTTATCTATTCCCCATGCAAACTTTCAGTTTCCTTTAACGGTCTCTTGGCCATTAAAATGTAGCTAAAATGGCCATAAAGAACTCACTGGGGTAATCCCCCCAGAGTGGGGGACATCGACACCTTGCTGTGAGGCACGAGGGGCACCCCATGGAGTGCCGGTCGGCTCTCATTACCGTAGAGTTCGTGACCTACCGCAACTGTTTACGAGGGGAAAAAGAGTGCTTCCGAGGTGCGAAGAGTTGTTAAATCCCTACAAAATATGATTCGTTCGAAGGGCAGTAGGAAAATCCAAATAAATTAAGAAAATTTCACTGGAAAAATGTGCTTAAAATTCTCAAGAAATAAAGCCAATTTGTGGGAGAAATCTTTTCGACATGAAACGCATACACACAGATACAGATACACCAATACATTGAAAACATGGGATGTAAAAACAGGAAAAAGGTGGACGACCCCGCCACAGGATGCAGCCGCCACAAAAACAAAAACAAAAACAGAGGCACCTCTAAAACAACAACAAAAAACAAGGAAAACGTCTATGAAAATTACAGGAAAAACAGCGCAGGAAAACGCAATAAAAAATTTAAAAATTACAAAAAATATTCTTGAATTTATAAAAATATGAATTTATTTTGAAAATCAACATTTTGAAAGTACATATTTTTGCACTGATTAAAAGAAATTCGAGAGATTTTCTTCCTGTTTTGAGAGCAGAATGAAAATGAGGAAAACAAAGCAAAACAATGAACAGAGACAGAGAGAGAGAAAGAGAAAGAGAGAGTAACAGAAAAGGATACAGAGAGAGACAGAAGTGGAAAAGAGAGCGTTTCTTGGAACAGAGTGAGAGAGAGAGAGAGCAAAATAAATAGACAAAGAGCGGGAGAGAGTGCGGCTGTCCGCTCAATGGTAGGCAACACTTTTCCGACGGTCCGACAACGCGGCGTATGCGTAATGTGAGCCAAAGAAAAGCCCTGCAATAGTGGAATGACGGAAAATTTAAGTTTTCTGTCCCCTGTACCCTGTCTGTCGCCGCCGCTCCCTCTCTCACACACCCTTTCGGGGGACGTCCCCCCCCCCCCCCCGCCATTTTGACAGCTCCAACGACTTCCTGACGTTCAGGCAGGCAGGAGCGCAATTTATGGCGTGGCAATGCGTACAAGAGAGCCCCCAAAGAGCCAGTAAGGGGAGCAGAGGTGGAGAGGCAGTGTCCTGCAGGTGGGGGGGTGTGCTGAGGGGCAGGAACACACATAAATTTAAAATGTATTTCGAGGTGAGGAAAACAGAGGAGAACAGGGGCAGCTGTGTTTCATTTGCCTGCTTTTCCACTTATCCCCCGCACTCCCGCTGTCCCTCTCTCTCTCTCTCTGCCTCTCTTTCTGCCCCCTCTACTTTACTCGCATGTTGCATTTTTTTTTTTTTTTAATTTTTTGATATAAAAATATTTTTGTTTCGCTTTCATGTGGGGCGGAAAAACTTAACTTGCAACAACTGAAAATGTTTTTCCTTTTTTTTTTTGTGCTCTCTCTCAGACCTGGCTCCCTCTCTCTCTTGGGTCAAGAGTTCTCTCATTGTTTTGTTTACAGAGCAAAAGTCAATTTCAACTGCATTTCATTAAAATTTTTGTAAACTACACAAAGGGAAAAAAAATAAAGAAAATAATGAGTAAGTGAGGTTTTCTAATGGGGAAATTATGAGGCATAGAGTGTGCACCTATGGGGCATCTAGGACTCCTAGAAGCTTAGAGGTCCTTTCCTTGGACTTTTCCACCAACTAAAGATTCAAGATTCATTAAAAAGTAATTAAATGACTATTAAGCATGGTTTTTCATGGAAATATGAGACTTGGGAATATATCTATTGTAAATTACTGCCTCTGGAGTGGAATTAAACATTTTTTTAACCGAAATTTCATTCAATTTTGGGTTGCACATGCAAAAAGGTGGTGTTTTCTACCACAAAAAGCCGTAGAATTCTTGGTAAAGGAAGGGATATCCTTCTGAAAAACACTCTAAAATATGAATTCCTTGGCAACTCAAATATCCGTCATATATTCTCTCGCATACTCTTCCGTTTCTTGGCTCAGAGCATCCCTCCAGCCGTCTAACGTCTTAGCTATTTGCCAATTCAAACATTTACTTCCTCGTAGCTCAATATTTGTTTACTCCGGTGTAGAATATCCGTACCCGGCATTCTCTTTGGCCACATCACCCACCACCCTCTTCCGCTCCCCTCCCGTCCCCTCCCCTCCCCGCACGAATCGAATCGAAGCACAAAAAGCGAAAGGTAACACTCAAAATACTAAATGAACTTGGGAAATGGTTTTTCTGGTCGAAAACATTTAGTTGCAATTACTTTGTTTTTGTTTTTTTAGATTGTTGTCTCACTACGACTATATGTTATATACATGGATATGTATTATTATTATTAAATACATTCGTAAATTACGTATTTCTATAAAGCACTCGGGCACACGCAAACAAACAGACAAACAAACGCACACACAGTGTCATACACGCGCGACGACGATTCACGGGGATAAAATCACGGGATACCCTGTAGACCCCGCTCTGGGCAGTGCTTTGTTGGTGGCACACCTAAAGCACAGCTATTTGTGCATTGTGCGGCTTTGGCTTTTGGTTATTTCTTTCACATAATATCGCTAGTATTTCTTCGGGGGGTATTATTTTTGACTATATTTTCAGACGCATCGGTAGGAGGACGATGCGACGCGTTTCACTGTTAACTGACGGCCGAAATAAGCGCCAGACGCGATATAAGCGGAATAGAGTTTGCTATAAACAAAATGTGCTATAATCTGAGAGAGCGGCGGCAATAATAACAAAAGCACAGCGCGCGAGAGCGCACATGCAAAGGCAACAACAAAGGCCGACATCGAGAGAGAGAGAGAGAGCACCAGCCAAACGCAACGAAAAAAAAGCGTCATTCCAGAGAGAGAGAGAGAGACGGAGCGTAAGAGCTTCATGGCATTCCATGCACTTGCTGGCTCTCCCACGCTCTCGTATCGCAAAACAAACAAAAGCACAAAGCGTGCGCAGAGAGTGAGAGAGAGAGAGAGAGAGCGTGCCATGTAACCGTATTATGCCGGCTGCAGGCTTCTATAAAAGTGCGAGCGGCCAGTCGCCCGCCCAAAGGCGACAATAAAAAGCTTCAAAGTCAAGTCAACAACAACAAAAAGCAGCTTCGTGAAAATTTAATAGTCATCAACAAAAAAAAAAGCAACAACAACAAGATCCCTGGCTAATTATGAGAGCAGGGGCCCAACAAAAAGATGAGACTTTCCACACATGTGTGGGTGTGACAGAGAGACAGACAAAACTTGATGTTTGTTTAAGCAGTCTCTAGGCCTTAATCCATTCCTCCCCCTTTCCCTCTCTTTCCCCTTGGGCACACGCATAACATTTTTTTTTATCAAAGATTCCTCCCATTTTATTTGGTTGGAAATTTAACAAACAAGCGATAAACATTTAAAAACTCAAAAAAGGCAAGCACATCAAAATCATCTGCCAGGCAATGGTGTGTGTGTGTGTGTGTGTGTGTGTGTGTGTGTGTGGGAGGGCCTTAACTAGGCGTTAACTGAGCTTAAATGAGCTTCAAGTGTCTCTAATTTATGGCTTATGGGTATGACAATCAAGTAGAACATTAAGGGCAGACAGTAGACAGTAGTCTCTAACGATACGATAAAAAGAGTAGGATATATGTATGTACATATAAGCTAAGAGAGAAAGAGATACACGTACATATGTAGGGCCATAAAAGTCCGATTACGATTGCATATTGCATTCCTCGCCAGAGAACAAAGGCATTTTTGCTTTTGGTACTGACTTTTTCTACTGCTCTGTATGGGGGGGGGGGGGGGGGGGGAGGCACACAGACATTCTTTAGAGAAGTATATCTTCTTTTTTTATTTTAAAAGTATTCAAGTAGGGGAAACAGAAAGTACATTCGCACTGCTTTACACATTTCCCCTTCCACTGCTTGCCTTCAGCAAAGGTCTTACGTTGCCTACTTTTCGGCTGATCGGCCCATAGAAATAAATCAATCACGCTCACACACTCCTTTATATGGGATAGGATATCAGTGGATCACTCACCATTATTATTGCTGATGGCGAATCGCTGCTGCAGCTGCTGTGCCAGCGCCTGATGATGCTGCGCCAGCGGTGTCAATGGCGGCGGCTGCTGCTGCTGCTGGCCCACGCCCAATTGCTGTGGCGCCGACTGTGAATGGGGCACGCCGCCACTCAATGAGGATGTGTCCGAAGAGCCATCCCCTCCGGCACCTCCTCCGCCACCACCACCACCAATAAGGCAGCCATTGGCCATGGAATTCTGTGGCTGGCCGCCGGCACCTCCGTTGAACTGTTGCACGGAAATCGAATTGGGAAGACCATGCTGCTGTTGCTGCTGTTGTTGTTGTTGTTGCTGTTGGCTGGCGGAAATTAGGGGATTCCCTGCCGTGCCATAGGTGGTGGCATTTATGGAATTATTGGCCTGATTCATGGAATTGTTGTGGACGGCTGTGCTGAGTAAAGAGCCATTGGCGGTGGCTCCACCTCCTCCTCCTCCTCCATTGTTGTAGTACGACTCCTCGCCTGCAAAAAAAAACACAAAGAGAGGGAACACAAGTCATTCATAAAAGCTCGCTTGCATTGGTTGTCCGCAAACTTTTGGCGGAAATAAGCTTTTTCCTAGCATAAACTTTCGCCGACCAACACGCCATCTGTGGGAGAGTGGCTGAACTAAGTGCTTTTGCAGGGACTGCCACACGCGGCATTAAGTTGAGGCAGGTTCGGTTCGCAGTCCCCTCTCTCCCTCGCACTCTCTCTCTCTTTTCTCTGTCTCTCATTTGAATGCATTTCGCGTTCGATTCTCCTTCTTTCTCTTCCTCCTCCTCCTGCTGCTGTTTCTTTTGATTTCGCTTTGGGCCTTTGGACAATTAGCCGTCGCTTGAGCAAACTGATTAATTGGCATTTAAGCGACTTGTCGCGACGCGACACAGCGACGACAGTGACGACAGCGATGGCTGTGACAACGGCGCCTCCTTCTAGTGGCTACTCCTCCAGGCAACCCCTCCTTTCTCGCGCCGCCTTCTTTTGACCAATTGACGTCTCCGTCTTGTTGCCTGTCACGTCTCGTATCCGCGCAGGCGGAAGGAAGACTCTTCTTCGCGTTTTAGCAAACAATTTAGCAAAGTGCAAAGCCGTCTGGCAAATCATTTGATAGACTGGAAGGAGAGGGGTAAGGGCGATGGCTGGAATAAGCCAACAGAGTTGGCTAAATCGTGCGTGGCTTATGGCCAATTTCCGCTATGTTTTCTTGGCTCTTCTGCTCCCCTTTCTGCCATCAAATATGCTTACGGGAGCGGGAAAAGCGGAAACTGCCGACTATCAAAATCTGAGAGCGTCTGTGGTAGCTAGAGGGACAAAGGCCAGAAGCCAGTGGCCATTGAAGAGGGTCGAAAAGGGAATGTTGAGAAAGTTTTGAGAGGCGGCTTTTGAGGTGTTTTTGAAAGTGGTTTTTTGAGGATGCTTTGAGTAATTTTTGTTGGTTTTCGAAGGAACTTGGGCTACAATTTAGGGAAACTTCAACGAAAACTTCCTAGTTCCCATCGAAAAGACTGCCTTTAGCACGTATCGAGTGTAGGGCCCAAGAAAGACCACCTTCCGGGGGGGGTGGGGAATCTCCATATACTCCATCCCCAATTCCTTATTCCTAATTCGTTTGGAAAAACTTTGAAGCTCTTCAAAAGCCGACGAAAAACTTACCCGGTTCCGGTATATTCCCCAGCGGACTCTCCGGCAGCAGTATCCCCTTTTGCACCAGCTCATCCCGATTGGCACGTACAGAAATCTTGCGCTCCAAAGCTGCAAACAACACAGAGAATATCCATGAGATACGTGGATCTCAAGAGTCGTTGGCTCAAGAGGCTGAGAGAAAAAAACTTACATTTGGAGGCCGCTTCGAACTTTTCGCTCTTCTTTTTCCGCCGCCACTTCCAGGGCTTGAAGAAGCGTCCCAGGGCGCTAAATTTGCTCTTCCGCTCCAGGGGCGGAGTGCGGGTGCCCGATCCGAGGCTGTTTGTGCGTATGGCAGCTCCATTCTGTTTCTTAGCTGCAAAGAGACAGAGAGAGAGAGAAAGAGAGACAACAATTAGCATATATGGATCTCCGGCATTTCAATCAAAACGTTCCACGGAAGCGGAAAGAGACGTTCCGCCCATTTTGGGGCCACCGGCAGTGGCTGTGGTTCGCCCACTTTTACCGGCATGCGGCATGCGGCATGTGGCATGGCGGAATGTTGTTGCAGCATTTATTGTGGCACTCATTGTTGCTGCTGTGGCCGCTGCAATCATCTTTTGCTCTCTTGGAAATTAGGAATTCAAAGCGGGTTTTTCCTCCCCACACCCCACACCCCACCCCGCCCCCTGGCCACAAAAATAAGTTGTTTACAATTCTTGGGAAACATTTGAATAGCTGCCACATTGCATTCCACACAAATGGGTGCAGTGCAGCGACAAGTCTTCTGACTTTTCCTCCTCCTGGCTTTCCCTTGGTGGTGGGGACAGCCCTTTCGAATCGATAGTTTCCATGGGGACATTCATATGATTTTCAATAGATTTCTATGATATTCACAAACAACAAATCAAAATGCCCCAAAAGAAATTCCTTCCCCGTTCTTTTTTTGGGGCCTAGACAAACATGGAAATTCCTTTACTGCTATTTGCATTTGGCTTTGGGACATTTCAAAGGCAAACCATCGCTGGAGGAGAGGGGACGGGGGGAAAGGCAGATAAGGTACAGGCCAAAGGCAAAACAGCAAAAGAAATGTCATCTCATGCTGGGGCTGGACTCCCAAAGCGACGCAGGAGCCCCTATGCCGCTCCCTGTCTCCGAATCCCTCTTTCACTGGCAGCCCCACCCACAGGGTGGCTATGCTCAAATAAAGGGTAAGCCATCTGCCTTACCTGCTCTTCGGTATACCCTGCCCTCAGCCTCAGCCTCAGCCTCTGCGCTGCTGTCTGCCTCCCCCGCTGTTGATGTTTGATGCTGCCTTCAGATAAGCTTTGTCATACAGACACACATCCTCCCCCCCCCCCCTTCCCCACACACACACACACACACAGATACACACGTTGAAGTGCTGCCTGCATTGAAGCGTTGAAATTAGGCTACAAGGGGGGGATGGGGGATAGAAATACGAATAAAAACAACCCACAGAGAGGGGGTAAGCACTGAAGAGCCCAGAAGAGTGGAGTAGCTGGAAGAACAAAGTCCGGAAGGCAGCGGGAGGGGGGAGGGGAGTGGTAGCCTAGCCAAAGACAACTGTAAAACTACTGCAAATGGGCCAACAGCAGCAACAACAACTACATATTTGGCTTCCATCATGATCTCTTCTCTGCTCTGCTCTTGCCTGCTCTTCCCATTCGTTTGGCTCTGGCTGGGCAATGGAGTGCCAGTGCTCCAATTGTGGTCAATTGTTGGTCAACAGAAGCAGCAGCAGCAGCAGCAGCAGCAGCAGCAGCAGCAGCAGCAGCAGCAGCAGCAGCCGCAGAACCAAAGGCTGCCACGCTTCAAGTTACATAATAAAGGGGAGGGAAATGGGGAAGCGGGGGAAGGGGGGAAGAGGGGGATAGAGTGGGTGGCTGGTTGGAGGTAAAACATCTTTAAGTCGCTTCTGTGTCAATTTGAGGCGGAAAACTCTTGCCAGCACAGGGAAACCCCCTCCGAGGAGAGTGCTGTGACAACAACAACAAAAGGAAGGAAAAATCTTTGTCTCATTTCGAATGGCGCCAACAGAGAAGAACAACAAGGGGGGGAGCACATGTTAGGAATTTCAGATGATGATGAACGTATAGCCGAAGAAATACCCTACATTCGAGTGGGAAATGTGAGATCTTACCCCGAAAAACCTGCGTGGCACGAAAACCCATCATACCCCAAAAATCAGAGATTCTCAGCCTTCCGTCCCATGCCACGTTTCGTTCCAGCCTTCCCCCTTTGTGCCCCTGCGCCACGCCGTTCCACCATTTCCATTCCCAGCACGAGACCAAAAAGCAACAACAACAAACAACCTTCCATGGAACGGAATGGAACGAAACGAAACGAAACGAAACGAGACGATGTTTTCCAAAAATTTCTTGGCTTATTCTGCTTTATGGCCCGGCCAGAAAAAGGCGCCGAAGAAAAGCTCGAAAGAAAATAAAGCAAAACTATATGCAAAAATCCACAGACCCAGCGGGGGAGAGGGTAGAGCGCGGCAGAGCTGCTCCATCCAGCCGCGTTGTCGTCATATGGGGAGAAGAAGAAAAAAAAAAAACCAGTTTTTGGGGAGCAGCTTTGAATGAATGCAGGCGGCGGCCAGCAGACACCAGCAGCAGCCTTCCATCGCAAAACTTTTCAAGATTTTGGCTTCTAAAAAAAAACCCCCCCAAAAATAAAACATATTCAACGGCAACGACTACAACAACAGCGAGTGAAGGGCGCGGTAAAAAGTACAACAACAGCAACAATAAAATATACAAAAATAAAAAAATAAAGTAATGCTATGCGAACGCATGGAAAAACGGGTTTTCGCGAAAGTTGTCGTCATTGTTTTTGTGCCTGTTGTTGGTGTTGTTGTTGTGGTTGTTGTGGTTGTTGTGGTTGTTGTGGTCGTTGTGGTCGTTGTTGTTGTTGTAATTTTGGTTGTGCTTGTTGTTGTTGAAGCTTTTTCAGCTCTGTTTGTGTTTGTCTTTGGTGTTGCTTTTGGTTTTTGTTGTTGAAGTTCCTTTTGTGGGTATTTTTCTGTCAGTTGTTGTTGTTGTTGAAGTTGTTGTATTTACGGTTGCATTTATTGTTGCAGTTTTGCTATTGTTGTTGCTTTTTCTCGCTTCAGTGGCATTTTTTCTGTTGCGTTTCTGTTATTTGGCGTTTTTTTTTTTGGCGCCCACCAGACGCTCAAGCTGTCTTAAATGTCTGCAAAGTCAAGGAGTAGGAGTTCCCTCTCGCGCGAGGAGACCCATTCGTCAGGGTCTATCCATTAGATATGCGCGCGTATAAATTGTTACAAAAAATTATGCATATTTTTATGCGATAAAGGGTTTTAGGGGGTTTATCTGAATTTCCATTTTATATTTATATCGTTACAAATTTATCTTTGTTGTTATTCTTTTTTTTTTTTTCGATTTTCTTCTTGAAAGATCATCGAATCATTCTCGAATATCTGCAACATTTTCTATCCGATGAGAGAGTTTTCAATCACCGTTTCCCATACTTTAGATTCGTTTTTATCCCATCCATATGAATTTCATTCCCACGAATCCAGCAACAAAACCCGAGAATTTCGCAATCCCCAAGACTTGCATTTGTGGGGTACGCAATCGCAGTGCGCGATATACATACATATATACACGGAATACAGACAAGATCTTATGTAAGCTTATGGCAATTGTCGTCGAGTCGTGGCTCCCCCCACTCGGACCCGCTTTTGAATAAACAAAATCACTCTGTTGCTGATAACCGCACTGCAAATAGTACAACAACAGCAACAACAACAGCAACAACAACAGCAACAGCAACAGCAACAACAAATACATAGAATAAGAATAATAACTATAGGATTTGACGACAACAAAATTTATTTGCACAACGTGATGTGCTCAACAATTTGTTCAAATAAAACCAACACGAAACAGCAACAACAACAAAAAGAAGAGTGAGGGAAGAGGAGGGGAAAAAAAAATGACAGAAAAAACAGTCAGCAGAGATCGGGAGATGTATAAATTATTTATACGACTTGGAAAGAGTGAAAAAGTGAGACTATAGCATGCGACAAAAGTTGTATATTTGTCAGTCAAATAAATTATGGAAGAGAGACTGAGAGATTGAGAGACGTCGGGGCGACACTTGGATTGACACAGCATGTCAAAAGCGAGTCCCCCCCCCGTTCCCCAAAAGAAATCGCCGCAAAGAAAAACCCCAAAAGAAAAACCAAAAGTTAATTACAACAGGATGGCTAGAGGGGAGTGGCGTGGAGGAGGGGGAAAAGAGGTTGAGGCGGCATAGTCAAATGTCAGACAGGTTCAAGCAGATCCCAAGAAAGTGAAACAAACACTCGACAGTCGACACTGAAAAGCGAAATCAGTCAAGAGAGAGAGAGAGGGATAGAGAGGGAGCGAGAGGGAGCGAGAGGGAGAGTAAAAGTGTAACAAATTCACAAAAGCAGAAAGCAATTTCAACAATTTGTTGCACGGATTTCGAAGCTTGTTTGCACCTCATGCAAATTAAAGAGGATTTTGTTCAATTTTTCCAATTTTATCTTTGAAATTACGAATTTCAGCAGAGCAAGGCATTCGATACCCTTTCTTTTGTTCAATACCCTTTTAGATTAGCGGTAGGTAACCTTGGCTTTTACAAAGATCCTTCGCGCAGACGTTTTATGATGGCAAATCTTGGATATATGATCACTTTTGACCAAGTTTTAGGTATACAAAAATATAAAAAACTATAATTTGTAAAGTTTTGCTGGATTCTCTTGGAATATTCCACTCAAAAATGTGTCCTTAGGTAAAAGAAAAGGGTATAAGGGTAGAAAATTCCAATTTCCAGAGGAAAAACCAGAGAAACTATCTCTCAGGGCTGCTCTCCCCCCCCCCCCAGAGCCATCTGCTTGCCACATTCCGTTGCAAATACCCTTTTTTGTACAGGGTACACTCAAAATCCACATGTCGAAGGTCGCTCGTCGCTAATTGATGGCTGGAGATGCAATTACAGCGAATCGAGAGCCACGCCACACGCAAAGCGCAAAGCCAATTTCTGTCTCTGTTTCTCTTTCTCTTTCTGTCTCTGTTTATCGGCGTCTAATGTCGATTTTTTTTTGATTGCAATATGAAGCCGGCAATTAATTTGAATCGAATGTACAATCGAAGCGGAGAGGAAAGCCCGGCTGGCAAAGGAAGAGGTGGAAACAGGGAAACGAGTAAAAGATTTGGGGCCCTGGTCACGCCTCATGGCGCGTAGTTTTTCGGGTGGAGGGGTGGTGCGGGGTGGTGAGGGGTGGTGAGGGGTGCAAATGCACATGCACAGAAAATGTTAAAATCACATTACGTATACGCAACGTTGCGCACAGCAAAA